TGTTGAATTGGTGCCCGTAGTGGTAGGTAATGCTGAACAGATTTGTGTGAAACACTTTTGGGAATGAGGAACGAAAGCAGCAGCCTGTAGGCTGCTGGTGGTGCTGTTCCTGAAAAGGATCTTATAGTATAAGTGCAACCAAGAACAGAGGTAAAACCTCCTCCACGGCATGTGGAAACAGCACCAGTTCAAATGGCAAACTAGTCAATGATTGCAATGAAATCTGACCATATCCAGATAATCGAACGATTAAACTGGCCTACAAAAAAGTAAATCGAAGCGCTCTGTTTGTGGAAAACTACATTTAACGCATCAACACCTACGTTTTTGTTTTCATCCAGAGAGTAATCAGTGGGAACTAAAGGGAAATCTCAGTTACCAGAAATTATTTATGTCATTTGCGGTGTTCCGCGACGGAATGCTTGATTTTCAAAAGAATCGCCTCGATGCAGCCACGCAGTGGAGGTTTCATATGAAATGTCCTGGCGTCGCTTCTTGATTCATGCAAACGGTCAATGGTTAATTCGCAAAGCGTAGGCTCCGTCCGTTTCGAGTAAACGGACACCTCAGATTCGCCTCGATGTTTTCGCTTTCCGCGGTCATTTTGAGCAGCAGCAAAGCTGCGATGTCTGGCAAAAGACGACAATCCTGAGTCTCTAGATACATAAACCGGTTTTACAGTCTCATGTGGATGCAACCTAACCGGAATACACGCTGTTCGTATGGCAAAACCCGTAATGTGGTGTTCCTCCAATGATCGTACCTTATTTTTCAACTTCCCTTTCAACGCGATCGTTGTCGCCGGTGGCGTTGGTGCACCGGACGATGGAGAAAATTTTTGACATGGGACGAGATGAAAGTGAGCACAAATCTCCATTCACCTTTAGATCGACGATAGCTGCTAGAAGTCACTCCAATCTTGTGCGATGTTGAAACCTGTTTTATTGAGCTTTCGTGTATCCCGAGTTTACCACAGAATAACAGTTATTTCGCAAATGAGTCGTAAATTAGCCGTCCTTTGAAAATTTCTCTGTAAAAGCTTTGATTTGACACAGACGACCGCGTTGTCTGACTTCTAGTTTGTTGTAGTACAGTGCTAATGAAGACATTCCAGTAAGCTTCATGAAATCGGGCATCAAATTTCTGCTTCAATCCGCATCCACCTGTAGTCGGTTCAACATATCTGTCGAAACCCATAACAATCTCATTGGTAGCTAGTAGTCCAACCAACCACTTGGCACAA